ATATCCAAAATGCGTCGTGGTTGAGCGACTGCGTTGTACAATTTTAAACAGTGTCACAAAACATCTTAAAAGAAAACAATCTAGTTCACAATTTAATCCGATAATTTGTTTTGTGGCAATTTTTGAAAACTGTACAATCTAGTTCACAATTTAATCCGATAATTTGTTTTGTGGCAATTTTTGAAAACTGTAAAATATCATGGGTGAATAGTAGTTTAGTGTGTGTTGATGCACCATACGAAGATTTAGTGGTTTTACAAATTAGTCTTCAACACTCTCGAATATGTTTGAGATTGTGACCCAGATTACATTTCCTCCTTTGAAGTATTGGATAACTTAGGATACTCAATTGGAGAGAACTTATGCTTAAAGTAGGATGGATTACAACCGTTACATTCATTTGATCGAACTTCTAGATCACTGCTTTAGACTTCTAGAGAACATTTCAATCATGTTTGGAACAATGGCGGATTGTGAGTAAATCTATTGGAGGTGCTAAAATTCAAAGAATATATATTAAATGTTTCAATAAATAAATAAATAAATAAATAAATAAATAAATATATATATATATATATATATATATATATATATATATATATATATATATATATATATATATATATATATATATATATATATATATATATATATATATATATATATATATTTGAATTTTGAATTTGGTGTGGTGGTTAGTTTTTTCTTATTATTACTTAATGGAATAGTGTTCTAGGTATTTTTTATAATTAAAAAAAGAAAAATATGCCACAAATTAATCTAAAATTACGGCATCACTTACCACCGAACTACTTAGACCATTTACAATGGTTTACAAACTCAACACCCATTTTTTCAACTCCCAACACTCCACATCATTTTCTCTTTCTTCCACCTAATAACTCAACACCCATTCAACTTTTACCCTCTCCAATGGTTTTTCACTCAACACCCTACCCCACCACTTTTTATTTTCATATTCTTATTTAAATTTTATTTTTATTTTTATGATTACATAAAATTACAATTATCGATTAAAATTAAATTAAAATAATAAATACTTAATAATTTAATTTTTAATTTTTTGTAATAAAAACAAAATTTATTTAAATAATTGGATACGATACAAATCATCTTAAATTAATTTAAAATACAACACACAATTAACGTAATTAGTACGTTACAAATAATTTAAAATGCAATACAACACACAAGTAACGTAATTAGTACGATACAAATAATTTAAAATGCAATACAACACACAAATAATTCAATCACGGAACATTCCAAACTCTGTCCATATGTGCTTCACTAGATCGGCTTGCAATTCTTGATGAACATTTGGACCACGGAACTCTGATCTAGCACGCACATGATTTGCAAAAGCGGGTAACACCTCGGTCGAGTATGGTTGTGGTGCACTAGATCCACTTTCCCCAGATTGCTCAAAATCGGTCCAACGTTGAGAATATGAATCTCGTTCATCCTCAACAATCATATTATGTAATATGATGCATGACCTCATGATGATACCCAAATCAGCTATGTCCCACAAGCGAGCTGGTTCACGGATGATTTTAAATCGAGCTTGGAGCACTCCAAATGCACGTTCGATGTCCTTCCGACATCCCTCCTGAAATTTTGCAAATAATTTATCGGGTTCACTTTGAGGAAGTCTAATCGATTTGACGAAAGTTGGATAAGAAGGGTAGATACCATCAGCTAGATAGTATGCCATATTATATGGACGTTGATTCACAAAGAAATTCACACTTGGAGCCTTTCCCTGTTCCACGTCATCAAACACTGGTGACCGGTCTAGAACGTTTATATCGTTCAACGTTCCCGGACATCCAAAAAAGGCATGCCAGATCCATAGGTCATGAGATGCAACTGCTTCAAGAATAACTGTGGTGGTTCCCTTATCCCCTCTAGTAAATTGTCCTTCCCATGCTTTAGGACAATTTTTCCACTCCCAGTGCATGCAGTCAATACTCCCAATCATCCCTGGGAACCCCCGCATTTCACTAACATGCAGTATTCTTTGCAGGTCATCTTGGGTTGGTGCTCTCAGATACACTTGCTCGTACAAGCGTATGATTCCTTTACAGAATCTACGTAAGCACTCCAATGCTGTAGTACCTCTTATTTTGATGTACTCGTCGACCGCATCTGCTGCCACACCATATGCTAACATTCGCATTGCTGTGGTACATTTTGCTAAGGGTGATATACCTTCTTTATTGGCTGCATCAACTCGCTGGGTGAAGTAGTTATCACTACTTGAAAGGTCCCCAACGATTCGAAGGAAAACATTTTTTTTCATCCGGTACCGACGACGAAACATTGCATCGTCATATGTAGGCTCATTGGCAAAGTAGTCGTCAATTAGTCTTTGGTTTGCCGCTGCATGATCTCTATTGAGATATTTTCTACTACGAGGTGCATTATCTTCCGATATTTTGTTTCTACGCTCTCTAAATCGATTGACTATATAATTTTCTTCAATTTCACGATTTTGATTGTAGGCTGCGATATCAAAATGATATTGTGATGGATCCATTTTTTTGTGATATTGGAGGTAGATTGGATGGGATTTGGGATATTGGTACATAAATGGATGTATGAGTCCCTATATATAAATGGATGTGGGTGGTGGACCACTGACGGATTCGAAATAATTTATTGTATAGAGTTAATTATCAGATAAGGAATAGATTCGAATTGGGTGGTGGACCACTGACGGATTCGAAATAATTTATTGTATAGAGTTAATTATCAGATAAGGAATAATTAAAGCAAACACTACACTGGCATATTGAAACAACAATAATTAAAGCAAACACTACACTGGCATATTGAAACAACAATAATTAAAGCAAACACAACACTGACAAATACTTCATTGAAATTAATTATCAAACAGTTCTGCCTCCAACTTTTTCAACAGCTGGTTCTTCCGGTCATCTAGATGCTCTTCGGAAGTTAGCTTTAGATACATCTTCATTTTCTTGGTTTTAGTCTTTTCCAAGGCTATATTGTTAGCCTGCTGTTGCATCAAGGCTATGTTGTCCAATCGTTCAAGCTCTTTCGTCTTGAATTCTTTGTATTCAGCCCATTCTTTGTCCACCACCTCCGAGGCATATTCCTTGCTTTTCTTTTTACCCTTTTTTTTAGCTGCCTCCCTTCCTATAGGACGAGCACTGGATTCTACAGTGTTTGAGCCACATGCATCACTCTCGCGAGATCTCTTAGATCCACTACTTCCTGAGCCAATATTTCCTCCTACTTGACTACCATAACGTGGTTGATCACGGAGAGCGTGCCATTCTTCCATTAAAGTGAATCTAACATTCTTCCCACATGCATATAATTCCTGCGCTTTTGCCAAAACATCATTCTCCGACCAACCACTTCCTTGCATACGCTTAGCGCCATCATAAGCGCCAATCCATTTACCCAACACTTTGTTCATATAATTAAAACGGTTTCGGCATGCAGGTCCATCACGCGGAGGATCGAATGAGCAATGCTCATTACAATACTCAGCAATTTTACCCCAATATGTTTCACCTTTCTGGTTTCTCCCGACAACACTGCTTGTTCCAAATTTAATCCACCCACTAATTAGCACCAAATTTTGTTCAGTGTTCCATGCTGGTTGCTGAGTTTTCCTGCTCTTAGGAGTTGAATCCTCTGAATTCGGACCGACTTCATTAGAAACTATCATGCCACCAATAGTTAGTTGTGTTGAAAACTCGGAAAATTCAGGTACACCACCACTTGGAAAATTTGCATTCGCCATTGTCACATAACCATTAAACGGGGGTGTTTGAGATGGATTTCTCGGCATAGATCCATAATATGTTTGAAAGTTTGGAACAGAGGATGTCTGGTTGAAATTTGGTGGAAAACCAAAATTAGGTATGTTTTGAGGATGTTGGTTGGAAAATTGATTTGGATTTTGATAATAGTTGGGATTTTGATAATTGTTGGGATTTGGAAAATTGTTGGGATTTTGGTTAAATGGAAAATTAGCAAAATTTTGAGTGTTAAAATGATTATTGGGATCCATTTCACTAAAAAAAGACACTTAACTTCAAAATAAACACTAATAATAAAATTAAGATAGTGAAAAACTTAGTTTTTTTTCTGTGTCCAAATCAAATGAACCAAGTCTCTATTTATAGAGAGAAAAAAATCATGAATTTTGGTAAAAAAAAAAAAAAATTAATTTGCAACGAAATAATTGAGTTCAAAGTATTAAATGGATAAAAATCTGGTCAGCCAATCAAACACAGCCACGTGGCAGATTAAATGGTGTTGAGTTTTCTCAACATCTCTCTCCTCCAACACACACTCAACACTACATTACACACCCATTGCACATGATTTTGTGGTGTTGACTTTAAATAAATCTACCATTGTAAATGGTCTTAGAAAATGTATGCTATACATGGCTAAATATTTTGAGGGGTGCAGGGAGGCGTACATTTTTAGTGTTATAATGAAGATAACATTTAGAAAATATATTTTTGTTTAAAAGTTTTTCCTAAAACCAGATTTAAAATTAAATAGAAAATATTTTAAAACTATTCAATGTGAGCATGATTTGATTTAAAATTTTATTTTTAAACCAAAAAATAACAAGAAACTGAGAATCATTTAGACTTAGTTGTAGTGAAAACAAGTTTCTAATGGAAGGGGAAGTTAACTAGATTACTTCAATTGTAGAATCACTTCCAAGTTCCAAAGGTCAGCGAGCTAGTATTTGCTCCATTGAAGACAATCGGAACGAGCGAGCTAGTATTTGCTTCATTGTTGTAGATTCTGTGTAGCTTCATTGTTGTAGCTTCATTGTTGTAGATTCTGTGTGTATATAAAAATCATTCAGATTCTGTGTGTATATAAAAATACAATGATGTATACAATACAATAGCAGGATTTTTATTTATTGGCACAGCCAAATGTCTTATTCATCCAATACATATATTGAGCAATTAGAGCTTAGAATAAACTGGCCTTCGTTTCTCTTTCACTGCCGCAACTGCTTCAATTAAATCACTGGATAACAATCTTGCAGAATTTAAAGTTGCAACAAAATCCAATCCTTGATCTACTGTCAAATCCCTGCTTTTCAGCAACACAGTCTTTGTCCCAACAACTGCAACTGGTGACTTGCTAGCAATTCCTGTGTATGTATCCAAATATAATGATAAGTCAGAACAAGAATAATGAACACTGATGAATGAAAAACAATGAATTATCTAACACTAACACTGATGAATGAAAAACAGAGTAAGAAACCAACCCTGGCCAAGTTCCCTAACGCCTTCATCCAGCTCATGTTGCGAGCCAAAAACACGAGAAACCAGACCCAACTCTTTTGCCTCCAAACCGGAGAACCTTCTGGCCGTCAAAGCCAACTCCATCGCGTTGCCGAAACCAACAATACTCGGCAGTCTTTGAAGTGATCCCAGATCAGCCGCCAAAGCCAAATCCACTTCTTTCACCGAGAAAAACGCATCCTCTGTACAAACCCTTATGTCACACGCGGTTATGATGTCGATTCCACCGCCGATACAGCCTCCGTGTATACTTGCAATCACAGGCTTACGGCATCGTTCCAGAGCTGTAATCGAATCCTGCATCACCAAGATCTGTCGACGGAGACTCTCCCCGGACAATTCCCCGGCGGTAGATTTCAAAAGGGAAAGATCGATGCCGGAGCAGAAGTGTTTGCCGGCGCCGGACAAAACGATAACGTTGACATCAGGGTTGTGGTCGAGTGCATAGAGAGCTTTGGGGAATTCAGAGAAGAAATCATGCGTGAGAGCGTTGCGCTGTGCGGGCCGATTAAGGTTAAGATAAAACACACCGGATTTAGGGATTTTCTCAACAATTTCTAGGGTTTTGAATTTCACTTCCATCGTCTCTTTAAGGAATAACTTCAACGATATCTAATTCACTATGCTTAACAAGATTTAAATAAAAAAGAGCATACATAATAACATGTAGATCCCTATGATTTTCAGTAAAAGGAAGGTCCTACCGGGAGTCGAACCCAGGTCGCAGGATTCAAAGTCCTGAGTGCTAACCACTACACCATAGAACCGTTTTGTTTAAGTCTGTCTATATTATTAAATTTGTAACAAAAACATTCAATTCATTTACACTCCTTATTAAAAACTTGTTCACCATAACCGGATATCTTAATACTTGTTTAAAATAAATAATATTTTCGATTACTACGTAAAATTATTTCGATGGTGGTCTAACCTACGTTGAGTCCAAACGTATAAAAGTTAACTGTTTTTTTTAATATATTACTTTTTTAACCATTTCTAAAGTTTGAATAGTCTCAAATAAATAAATAAATTATATATTTTTGAATCTTAAAAGAGCAAACTAATATGTTTACATGCTAAGAAATTTAAAAATAAAAAACTTTTGTTATAAAAAACAAATTTTAAAAAATTGAAAGCACAATCTTATTAACAATGTTTTTATATTTAATTCTTTAATATGTTCTTCTAAAACACAAGTTAACACATTATTTAAATATAACATTTTTTTATGTATGGAATGTATATGGTTGATCACCATAGTTTAAATTCCCAATCATTTTTATAGTAACATATGAATCGACTTGTGAACATATTTGTCTTTGGTGCTTTAAAGTAAAAAGTTGGTTGAAACTAACATTATGGATATATGTGTGATTTGCGTGTGTGTATTTGTGTATGTGCTTTTGTGTGTGTACATGTGTTTATGGGTGTGTGTGCGTGCTCACGTGCATTTGTGTGCACGTGTCTATGGGTGTGTGTGATCATTGATCAACTTTTAACCTAACTATTAAATTAGGTATTTATATTATTTTACAATTCAACTCAATGCATGTGGTAGCATCGGTTCCTTTTTCAAAACCCGACCCCTATTTTAGGATCACGATTCCCGTCAAAATTTCCATGAAGTCGCTCACACCCCCACACGAGCACACGACTTTCGTGATTGCTCACACCCCACATGGGCACACGATCACCTCAACAACAACAATATGATTCTGCAATCATAATTCAGATAAGACGCTAACACCCCACATGGGTACACGGGTTATCTCACAACTCATGCAATCATAAAATGCATGACAACAACAACAACAACGACGACGACGACGACGACCATCTAAACAATGCAATATGCCGCTATAGGCCAGCAACAACGACATTTCATATAGTCCAACAACAACGACTTGCAACATAGCCAACATCCACACGACATTTAAAATCATATCATACCACAACATAATAATAATAATAATAATAATAATAATAATGCATTTAACACAACCAACAACATGATTATTCAACTTCTGCCACCGAAACTATTTTTAGACTAAAGTTTGACACGTCAGCTTCTCGACACTTCAAACGACACTCGAATCAAACTCCCGAAACAAAAGTTATGAATTTTAAAAGATTTTTCAAAATTGGTCTCAGTGTAACCAGTTACTCAAAATGAGGTAACCGGTTACACCATGGTAACCAGCTACTATCACGCCAAAAACACAGTGTAACTAGTTACCTAAATCAGGGTAACCGATTACACCCTCACAGATTTGCCAAGAAACACCATTTTTCAACTGTGTAAACCGATTATCCTATATCTGATAATCGATTATGCCTGCAGCAGAATCATTTTTCTGCTGCTTATTAGTACGAAAAACACTTTTTCACCCACCCCAAAATCTCATTTTTCATACAATTTGTGTAATCTATTGTTTTACTCAAAAATCAATTTTTATCAACACAAAAACCCATACTTCTTTCCCCAAAAACATTCATAACATCGTTCCAGCTCTGACTCATGATCACATTCAACAACACAACATCAACACCAATTAACCATCAATTAAACAAATCAACAACAACAAAAATTACATCAATTTCATCAATAACAACAGTCCCAATATTAACATACAACAATCAGCGGAAAACAATAAATTCAACAAATATCATTCAATCGAAATTATGAACAACAATAAGAGAAATACAAAACCTACATGATATAATCTACCCACCATGATCATGTTAACCCTTAGATAATTAGAATCCCACCCTTACCTTAGAGTTCTTGCAACGATTTTCTCTTCCTCAACAATGGAGTCTCGTCCTCCCTTGCCTTGACTCTCACTTCATGTTCTTTCTTTAGTTTCTCCCAAAAATACGCACTGACCAAATTTTCCTCTCCACTTCCCCTTTTTTATTCTTATATTATTATTATTATTATTATCATTTCACAAATTACATAATAATAATAATATTCATCAATTAATTAAAGTAATAATATTCAACTAATATTATTTAATTAGTCATTCTCACCACACCACCAAGTTCTATACAATTGGTCATACACCCCTTACCCTTAGAGTCTATAATTCTAAAGTCACTACCCTCTACAATAGGGTACCCCGACTGTTAGGTCTTGATTGGCAGGCATTTTGGTAAAACCAAGTGTAATCACAAGATGTCCTACAGGATGTCATGACATCTGTCTTTAAGGTTCTACATGTTACTTTGGGTGTTGTAGCAGGACTTATCTCATGATGTCAAATATGATGTCCTGACACTTATGGACAAAACATTATGTATGAATGTGTTTGTGTGTCTATTCCTTTTGTGCAAACTTATTGCACTTATCTGGTGTAAAATCTGCGAGGATTTTTGTGTTTTACAAAGGCGTATCTGATGCACATATTGTGGATCATATTTGATTTGATATAAAGCTATTCTCAGAAGATTTTATTGAAGATTGGAAGAATGATTTGATTGGATCTATTTGATCAAATCAAATCTGTTTCATTTATGCAAATTATGAAGATTGATTGCTTATCAAATCTGTTGTTACTTTTGCCACAACCCAAGCCCGTTCAGTATTTCTATTTAAGGATGTGTAAACCCTAGCTTTGAGATCAGAGAAGCTAGGATTAAAAGTGTGTGAATTTGTGTAAGGTTTAGCTTTCGTGTGTTTTAGTTTTGTGAGCCATTCACTCATTGTTTAATGTTTGAATTGGATTAAGTTGTTAATTGTAAATTGTTCATTCAAAGTTTGTAAGCAAGAGTGTATCGTACTTGATTGAAGCTTTTAAGCAAGATCAAGTTGTGTCTTTGAAGAGTGCCTTCTAAAGTCTTTTTATTTTATTGATTAATATCACTGTTGTAATTGAGGGGGGGGGTGAGAGGTGTCTCTTGTCTAGGTGTGTTCTAGGCAGAAATTGCAAGGGTAGAGATTAGGTGAAAAGATGGTAAACTAGAGAGAGTCTACTGTATATCTTCAAACTAATTCTACTTAGTGAATTTCCTTCCTGGCTTGGTAGCCCCCATACATAGGTGTGTTTTCACTGAACTGGGTTAACAATTGCTTGTGTCTCTTTACAATTGTTATTTGGTTATCCTTGTTCTTATTGATGCTTGAACAAATATTTGTGTAGTAAACATCACCTTCGACATCTAATATCTGATACCAGAATTTCAATTGGCATCAGAGCAGGCATTCTGCTCTGGTTCTAGGTGAGATATAGGGACGATACTTTCTGGTACCATGGACAAAGAAGGAGGATTTGTGAACAGACCACCTGTTCTTGATGGGAATAATTATGACTATTGGAAACCACGTATGGTTGCTTTCTTGAAATCTCTGGACAGTAATGAAGGTGTGAGAAATACACAAGAAAGGGGGGGGGGTTTAATTGGGTATTTACTCTATTAAAACTTTTTCTGGGTTTCTTCAGTTTCTTTGAATGTTGCTTTCTATAGAGTTCTATACGATGCATTGTGGAAGCATATATAATAAAGCATAACACAAGTAAAGAACACATGATATATCCTGGTTCACTTGAGAAACTCTCAAGCTAATTCAGTCCACCCTTCCAAGGTGATTTCGCCTCACTCAAGCAAGGATTTAATCCACTATAACCAAATTGATTACAGTTGCACAAGCTAACTGCAAGTGACTAACAAATAGACAATGACACGTTCAGGGATCCCTTAGGATATAACATTCATTGACACCTAATATAATTCGATCAATTAAGATCTCCTATTTGTTACCACAAATGACAATTTTCACTTGTCATCTCAAGTATTCTGATATTCACAAGATCACTTGAGGAGCCACTAATTCTAAAAAGAATTTGGGTTGCCGGAGATTACATGAGTGCTTCTTGTCAAGCAAAATACTCCTAATTAAGTACATAGCAAGTATTGAGCAGCAACTTCTTGCTTCCTAATACAAAAACTAATTTAAAGATGAATCTCTATGAGATTATTAGAACATTAGTTTCCATATTGCTTAAAAGCTTTCTTATGTGAGCACTGCGGCTTCTTAGCTTAAAGCTTTTCTTGTTAATCAACTATGTTGCTAACTTCACTCGTCAGCATCATTGCCTTTTAACAAGCTGGCTTGCTTTGTAATGAGCTCACTGTCTTTCTTGTTGACTAGCTTGCTTGCTTGCTAGCTAGCTTACTAGCTTACTAGCTAACTAGCTAACATTTGAATGAATCAAATGTTCTTCTTTTATAGTGCATTCAAAAGAGACGTTGTGAGGGCAGAGATGTCCATTCATATATTCCAACGGTCATTTCCAACGGATAGAATACTCACGTGTTGTATAGTACTGACATCACTTTTCTTTTCCCTTTCTTGCAACGTTAATATCTCAACATTGGAAACCACACTTATAAATAGTACCAATGTCTTTGTCGTAGTGAAAGTTTGCATTCGTTGTACTGTAGTCTTCTTGACTTGGTTCTTCTGATGATTCATCTGATGAGTAGTTCAGCAACTACTTTGGTATGACAGCTTCAGCGTCAGAGTTGTTTTAAGCACATGTTTATCAGATTTAATAGCAGCAACTTATCTGATGAGTAAT